CTCTCTTTTTTTTAATGTGAAGCATTTCTTAAAGAACTTCGGTGAGTTTGACGGTATGTATGTATCTATCTATCTATCCATCTTTTAAGCTCTCCAGGCCGTTTGCATAATCGCATCTACACCGAAATTGGTATGGCGAGCATAAATGACTAGTCATAACGTGAAAATCATGACATGTATGTCATGATGTCCATGTCATGGTCTCGCTGCTTCTGCAGTGGTTTCGTTCACATCGCAAAACTGCTATAGTATGACATGACTGCATGGCCAACATAAATGACTGGCCCTCAGGTGGAAATCATGACATGCGTGTCATGTAAGAATATGACTACATGCCGCGCTCCTAATGCGCTCGCGGTCGTTTCGCTACCTTCTCATACACCCAATTCGGAATTGTGTTACGTAAATAGATGAAGAAGGTATTGGGCGCGAGGACATACCGTGGCGTTACCATGCGGAGGCGTCCCTGTGACGTGCGTGGTTGGAATGCTCCGCCGCCCCTTCGCGCGCAGCCCGCAGTCGCTTTCACGTCTCCTCTTTTAAAGACGATAGTCTTTCTTGGGGACCTTCGACGCAAAAATTTTGGTCTGTCTGTACATTTGTCTGTTTGTCCACTCTTAACAGCATCGGGTACTTGAAATGGCCGACCCCATCCACAGCACCACCAATGTTGCTCAAGATTCAGCGTTCATACTTGTGCAACTGTAAATTAAAAAGCAATTATTGCGCATGTCTGGGGCACCACAACAACACGTATATATTCTGCATGGGCGTCTTTTGCTAGAAAAGGCATCCATAGGTAATTTCAGGGACCGTAGCGCTTATCACGCTCCGCTGACCATGCAATGCTTGCACGAACAGGCGAGCGTTCCCAACGCTTTGATAAAACGAGACGGTGGTGGCACCTACCCGTCGCCTTGCGTTCTACACCTTATCAACACTGAGGCGGGCGTGCACACCCGTCTCAGAGCCACGCGCTCCGTTTTTAAAAAAAAAGTGCCAGACGGCGCTTATGTCTCACGTGTGACGTCACTTGATGCGCTCGTTCACCTCCTGCTGCACGCTCGAGGCACTCTAACGCAGCGCCTCCAGAATACCATTCACAATTTTTTTCGCGCAGAACATCAAATAACTGTTTTGTTCACTGTCTCGACACACAAGACCGCCGTCTTTCGACGACATTTGCACATTGCATGCAGATACGGGGCCATTTATATCATTATTTTCTTGTATTTCGCTCAACAAAATCAGTAAAATACTGCAGCAGCTTATTTTCTAACTTTACAAAGTGCTAAACAACTGCCCTGGAAAAGCCATACGCTTCTCATAATGTCTGACTGCCGGCGTCGTCTGCTATGGCCATCTGAATAAAAACCACGGCGGCCGAGCGCGCCGCCTCTATGAAACGTGGCAACTTATTCCGTGTCGAATTGAAGTATCAAATGGATAATAACGTTAAAAAAACTTATGTTTGCTATAAGAAATACGCGCAACCACGCTACTTCATTCATTGTAGGTTTGCGTCTAAAGAAGGGCCGCGGTTGACATGACCAACATGCGCAAAATACATACCTGTTTAGCACACACAGCCCTACGAAGCACCGCGCAAGTGGATTCCGTACCTTGTGTAAGCAACACAGCATTCTTACATCCGCATGCAGCCGCCACCTTTATGTGATCGTTGCAGTCAAATGTGAGAATCACGCACGCGCGTGCCTCATTCAGAGTTGTAACTTTTCTTGTAGCACGATTCTAATGATTATTACGCAAAATTTCTATGATGGTCACACGTTGCACATTCGATCGTCATTGAGTCACACATGGGTGAAAATTATAAATGATTGCTTCAGGTTCGGTGCTTCTATAAACGGGTAAATAATGACCGAAAATTCGGTCAGCCAGCCGTATCATTTTGTGCTCTCGATTGTGCATGCTGCGGATTCTTGCGTACCGTGATATAAACGGCAATTGCATGTTTCAGTAAAATTGCCAATGTCATGTTTTTTACAGCTTCATTCATAAGCTGTGTTATATTTCACGGCAGCTTTTAGAAGATGAATTCGTTCTCGAAGCTGACCACTTTTTCGCCTGTAGATCAAAGCAACGTTGAGAGGAACTGACAGTGGTTATTGGCCCATTTACAGACGTAATCTATAAGCAAGGAGTTAAACCTGTGAGTTGAAGTCGCGGACGTCAGGGGCGTTGGCAGAATTTTTTTCAAACAGGGAACCGCTTTGAGTAGAGTTGGGTCCGGGGGGCTTTGTGTGCCAGCCCCTGGCTACGCCACCGGCGTATGGAAAACCATGCGGTCGGGTACACACACGGGGACGGACAACCGAGGAGGAGGGTGGTGGCGCAGACTGCGGCAAAAGTTACCTTGGCGAAAGAAGTAAGCTTAGACAAAGACTGGAGCGGCACACGTATGTTATAAGAAAGAAGGTTTCGTCGAACGCACTGGCCGAACACGCAGAAGCAACTAACCACAAAATAGGCCAAAATGGGGTAAAAATAGCGAAAATAAAAGGACAAAAATTGGACTTCCAGGCTATCTTGACTCCCTGGCAATTCAGCCAACAGCACACACTTTCAAATTTAGTAACTGTAACTTCCCCCACGTTCACAATCTTACCATCTATTTTAAAATATACGTTATCGAACTGTTTTCACAGTCATTTTTCGTTGTGAACGAGGCTCCCGTGCAGAACTGAAACGATTTACTTATATGTAAACATTCATGGTCTGATCTCACTTTAACCACATGGGCACGAAATAACCACAACAAAGAGAAAGGTGACAGTGGCACAGCCAGCGACCTTGACAGTGGTATCGCATACGCAGCGAACTGCGGCACGCCCCCGGTACCTTTTCTGCAATTTTTTTTGCATAGTGTACTCTGCATAAGTCTATGCACTTAAGTCAGAGCAATACAACGCTGTTAAAAAAATTGCCCGCAGCTTCCCTCGGGGGAACACTGAGGAGGATGCGGAGCCGCTACCTCGGCGCGCTTGCGCTCGCGGGCAGCATCGGGATCGGCCTCTCGTCGGCGACGCTTGCACTCGGCTTCCCGTTTTCGAAAGTCCGGGTCCTCTTGTCGACGCTTACGTTTCAAAGTGGCCGAATCCGGTGCTGCTGCTCGACGCTGACGTCTCTCAGCGGCTTCACGTTCTCTAAGTTGAGCATCTTCCGCTCGACGCCGACGTTTACGTTCGGCGTCGCGAGCTCTTCTCCGCGCTGCCTTGTCTTCGGACGACGACTTGGTTGCGGTTCCGCCAACACTTTGGCCGGCGCTGGTCGAAGGGACGTCGATCATTGCGACCTCGGACGTCGACGCGCCGTACAAACCAACCGACGAGCGGCAACTGAGCGAGCGAGCACCGACCTTGAGTATATATACAGCGCGACGGCGCATGCACTGTCAATGAAAACACCGCGAAGTCATCGGATTAAAAGCAACGCACCCAACCACAAACTTTCCTTCGCCAGAGCGAGGCGAGATCACGTGATCTAACCCTGCACGTAAGAGCGATTGCAGCGCCCACGCCTCCAGTGGTGAGCCTTGCGCCCAATATGACCGGTGCAAACATGTTAATCATGACATGAGTGTCACGTAAGAACATGATTAAATGCAACGCCCATGTTGCGTTCGCGGTCGCTTCGCTAGCTTCACATATACCAAATTCGGTATTACGTGACGGGTCAGACGCGGGCGCGATCACCTGGTCGAACACCTTTGAGGATCTGGGGAGCGACCACAGAGTCCTGTGCATGACAATGGAACAGGATAAAAACAAGATGGATGGCTGCCAAAAAGCTAGAGTCGTGGACTGGGACAAGTTTCGAGAGCAAAGAGAACGAGAGAAGCAGGAAGGGCCGATTGAGGATATCGGGGAATGGTGCAGGGAACTACTCGCGGACGTATAAAAAGCTACAAAAGAAATAGAATGGCCAGACAGGCGAAAAGAACCTGAAGGTGGTGGCAGGCCCTGCGGAATCGTCGACGACAGCGTTCCCGAGCCGTCCAGGGTGGACAGCCAGCTTGCGCATCTTGTAGAGGCCAAGAAATCTATGCAGCGAAGAGCGAGTCAGCAAAAACTGAACAGGACGATACGCAAGAAGATTGCCGAGATCAACCGAGAGATTGAGGCCCACTGCGTTCGACTGTGCGAACAGGAATAGCAGGAGCTGTGCAATACGATGGACGGAAACATGAGTGCAGGGCGCACATGGAAGATTCTCAGGCGCCTGCTGGATCCAACCAGCACGAGAACGGCGACTCGTGTCCAGATGGCCAAGCTGCGACACAAGTACAAAGACGACCCGCAGGCCTTCGTGGAGGAGATCATCCGGACGCACCTCACTCGCCCGGCAGGCGAGAGTCACATGGAATACTGCGAGGCTCCCAACGAGGACCTAGACAAAGAATTTTCCATGCAGGAAATTAGAGCAGTCCTCCAGCTACTGAAGACTAAATCGGTGCCCGATCCTGACAAGATCACCAACCGAATTCTGAGGAACCTGAACGATGACACCATCGAGAAGCTACGTCCGTATATCAACGCATTCTGGAAGGAAGGCCGTATTCCACAAGAATGGAAGACAGCAAGCCAGGTAAACCCTTGAGGTTCGAAATATGAGGCCGATATCTCTGACGTCCTGCGTCGGGAAAGTAACGGAGCACGCCTGCCTCAACAGAGTGACGACGATCATCGAGAAGCGGGATGCCTTCGGCACTCATATCATCGGCTTCCGCAGAGGACGTTCGACGCAGGATGCTATGCTGCAAATCAAGGAACAGGTCGTTAACGCATCAAGCACGCACGTGCGCGCCCTGCTAGGGTTAGACCTCAAAAGTGCCTCCGATACAGTAGAACCTGCTGCCATTTTGGACAAGATCAGCCAATTAGGTCTTGGTTCAAGGTTCCACCGGTACGTCAGCAGCTTCCTGACCGGACGCAAGGCGACGGTGAAGGTCGACGGTGTCCCCACCACGAACAGTTGACATGAGGGGTGCGGGTACGCCACAGGGCTCGGTGCTCTCTCCCATGATTTTCAACCTCATCATGATCGGACTACCGGAGCGTCTCGACGCAATAGAGGGCATCAATCACACGATATACACAGACGACGTGACCGTGTGGACCACAGTGAATACGAGCGTCGGTGAAATGCACGAGAGAATGCAACAGGACGTCCGGGCCGTGAAGCGGCACCTCGAAGGCACGGGACTCGTCTGCTCTCCCGATAAATCGGAAATCCTCCTGCATAGACCACGCAAGAAAGGACCTCACCCGCAGGCTGTACTGGATGCCCGGTGCTTGGACATCCGCGTCATGACGAAGGAGGGGACCCAAATACCAACGGTGTCCAAAATACGAGTGCTCGGCCTGTTGCTGGAAGAGAACGGTGCTAACCACGAGCTGGTAGCACGACTGCAAAAGAAAGTGGCCGCCGCAACACACCTTGTGCATCGCGTAGCGAAAAAAAGAAAAGGGCTAAAGGAACACAACGTGACGAAGTTAATACATGCGTACGCGCTGAGCCACATAGCGTATGTCACCGCGTATGCCGACTGGAACAGAAGCGAAACCGAGAAGCTGAACGCGGCGATTCGTCGAGCGTTCAAGGTAGCCCTGGGTGTGCCCCAGTACACGGAAACCCGTAGGCTTCTGGAGCTGGGTGAGCACAACACCCTCGACGAGATAGCAGAAGCGCAGAGGATCGCGCAGCTCGAGAGGTTGTCTGGCACAAGAACGGGAAGACGCGTTCTCGACCTGCTCGGGATTCGATATCATGAGGCACGTGGACTGAAGGAAGCATTGCTACCGGAAGTTAGGGACACTATATTGACAGAAAACATCCCCAGGAACATGCACCCCGTTCACAACTAGCAACGACGCAAATTCAGAGCTGCAGCAATCCTGAAGGCGCATGGAAGCCAAGAGTGTGTCCTCTTCGTGAATGCGGCCAGGTATCCTGTCAGCCGGCGGCGGCGATGGGGGACGCTTGGAACCCCCGCCGCTACCCGTAAACGAGCGAGGTGAGGTCGAGGCGCTAACACTACCACCACTGCTACGTCTACGAAAACAACGACTGCAGCGACAGCGGCAACATCAACAGCAAGTCCGGTCAGTGGCGGCGGGACCTGCTTTCTCTATGGCGGTCCTGGATACAACAGGAAAGGTTCGGATCACGGCATCAGCACGGCTGCCATCATCCGAAGCTGCAGAAGAAATGGCCATAGCATTAGCGGTACTCAACAGCGGTTCGGACGACCGCCTGATTATTAGCGATTCTAAATCAGCGATTCAGAGCTATATTAAAGGCTGCGTGTCCGAGGAGGTGGCACGCATGCTTAATGCCAGAGCTAGGGACTTTGCGTCAGGCAAGATTACTGACAACGCCCTCAAGTGGTTTCCCGCTCACATGGGGGACCTTGCAACTATCAACAACAGGCGTAAAACTAGCAGCAACAATGCCAACAGCCAAAGATTAACCGGCATCCCACCCAACCATAACGAGCGCACCCACCTCGTCGCGAGGCAACTTATCCGCCGTGACGCAGCAGCCCAAGGAGCAGCCGCCACCGTGGTTGGGAGGAGCACCGGCCAAGGCAGGGTGGTGGCCACAGGCACTGGCAATGCCGAAATTACCATCCCCACCACCTGCGTTGCAGCGGCAACTGAAGTTGGTGCAGAAAAGGTGCGGCAACAGAGCTGCGCTGACTGCTATGGAGAAGAATTTCCTGCCACGTACCACGACGTCCTTGCGCACTATGGGAAAGACCGGGAGAAATTTCCGCAACCCCACGTGCGCCTGCACAGGCGGTGGACCTGAGAAGGCTGCAGACAGGCACGTTCACCAACCCCTACCATCTGCACTACATATGGCCCACGCTGCACCCGTCGCCTGGCTGCCCGTGGTGCGCGCACGAACGGGCCGATATGGCACATATACTTTGGCAATGCGAAAGAGATGAAGATAGGCCACGAGAAAGGATGACGTCAACTGAGGGACCCACCAAAACGGGGCGCCTTGCTGAGCGATGGCATGCCGCCCTTCTCAGCGAGGCCCTCGAAGACCAGGTGTGGGCCGTCCAGCGGGCCAGGGTCGTCGCCGAGGACCTCAAAAGATGTTCCTTGAACGATGTGTCCCCGGCAGCCTAGCCCCGGGCACACCAACAACCGTTGGGCAAGTTTATTCAACTCACCAACAACTACGTGACGGGAATGAATGGTGAGGGTATACAACTGGTGCAAACATAATAATCATAGCATGCATGTCATGTAAGAACATTACTACGTTCCACGCTCATGGTGCGCTCGCGGTAGTTTCGCTAGCTTCACATGTACCAGATTTGGTATTATGTGACGTGAATGGATGGTGAAGGTATATGACTAGTGCACACATCATAATCATGATGCGTGTGATGTAAGAACATGACTACATGTCACGCTCATGATGTGCTCGCGTTCCTGTCGCTAGCGTCACATGTATCAAATGGTTTACATGACGTGAGTGGATACCGAAAATATATGACTGGTGCAAACATGATAATCATGACATGCATGCAATGTAAGAACATGACTACATGCCACGCTCATGGTGCGCTCGCGGTAGTTTCGCTAGCTTCACATGTACCAGATTTGGTACTATGTGACGTGAATGGATGGTGAAGGTATATGACTGGTGCACACCTCATAATCATGATGCGTGTGATGTAAGAACATGACTACATGTCACGTTCAAGATTCGCTCGCGTTCGTGTCACTAGTCACGTGTATCAAATAGTATTACATGACGTGAGTGCATCACGAAGGTATTTAACTGGTGCAAACATGACAATCATGACATGCGTGTCATGTAAAAGATGACTACATGCTACAGTCATAGTGCACTCGCGGCCATTTCGCTAGCTTCAAATACACCAAATTGGAATTACGTGACGTCAATGGATGACGAAAGTATCTGACAGGTGAAAACATCATAATCATGACATGTGACATGTAAGAACATGACTAATTGACAAGCTCATAATGACCTCACAGCCGTTTCGCTAGGTTCACATATACCAAAGCGGGTACGTATTACATGACGCGAATGGACCACGAATGTAAATGACACATTCCAACATGATAATCAAGGCATGCGTGTCATGTAAAACATGACTACTTGCCACGCTCATAGTGCACTGACGACCATTTCGTTAGCTTCACATATACCAAATTTGGCGTAACGTGACGTGAGTGAATGACGAAGGTATATGACTGGGACGAACATGTAATAACATGACTACATACCACGCTCATAATGCAGCCGCTGTTGTTATTGCTAGCTTTGCATATACCAAATTTGGAATAATGTGACGTCATTAGAAGACGAAGATAAAAAACACGTCTGAAAATGATAATCATTCCATGCCTGTCCCGTAAAACATGACTAAATGTGACGCTGACGATGCGCTCACGGTCGTTTCGCTAGCTTCACATATACAAATTTGGTATTACGTGGCGAGAATAGATGGCAAAGGTATACGACTGGTGCCAACATGATAATCATGACATGCGTGTCATGTAAGAAAATGACTACATGCCACGCTCACGATGCACTCCCGGTCGTTTCACCAGCCTCACATATACCAAATTTAGTGTTACGTGACGTAAATTGATGACGAAGGTGTATGACTGGCGCAAATGTGATGATCATGATATGCGTGTCATGTAGCGACATGACTACATGCCACGCTCATGATGCGCTTGCAGTCGTTTCGCTGAGTACACATACACAAAATTTTATATTACGTGACGTGAATGAATGACGAAGGAAAGGTATGTGACTGGTGCCAACATAGTTATGACATGCATGTCATGTAAAACATGACTACATGCTACGCTCATAGTGCGCTCGCGGCCATTTGACTAGCTTTACATATAACAAATTTGGCGTAACGTGACGTGAGTGAATGACGAAGGTATATGACTGCGGCAAACATGATAATCACGATATGCGTGACATGTAAGAAGAACGAGACTACTTAGCACGCTCATGATGCACTCGCGGCTATTTCGCTAGCTTTACATATTACCAAATTTGGTCTTATGTGACGTGATTAGACGAAGAAAAATCACACGTCCAAATATCATAATAATTACATGCGTGTCACGTAAAACATGACTAAATGCCACGCTCATGATGCCCTCGCAATCGTTTCACTACCTTCACATATTTGGTAATACGTGACGGGAATGGATGATGAAGGTATATACTGGTGGAAAGATCATAATCATGACACGCGTGTGATTTAAGAACATGACTACATGCTATGCTTATGATGCGCTCGCGGTCATGTACCTAGCTTCATATATACCGAATTTGGCATTACGTGGTATGCATAGATGACGAACATATATGACTGGTGCAAACATGATAATTGTGACATGCGTGTCATGGAAGAACATGACTACATATGCCACGCTCATGATGCACTCGCGGTCGTTTTGCCAGCTTCACATATATCAAATCTGGTATGACGGGATGCGAATGGGCCACGAATGTAAATGACACGTCTAAACATGATAATCATGACATGCGTGTCATGTAAAACATGACCACATGCTACTCTCATGATGCGCTCGCGGCTGTTTCAGTAGCTTTACGTATACCAAATTTGGTATTATGTGACGTGATTAGACAAAGATAAATCACACGTCCAAAAAAGATAATTATTACATGCGTGTCACGTAAAACATGACATGTTACGCTCATAGCATGTTCGTGGCTGTTTCGCTAGCTTCGCATATACCGTATTTATGCGCATAATTCGCGCCCTCGCATTATTTGCACACCCCTCGTATTTTGCCAGCTTTTCGGGAAAAAAATATTTACTTGCATATTTCACGCTCCCCGACTCGCCCTAGTCAGCGCGCCGGCGCGGGCACCTTTGAACCTTTCGATGCTTCAGCCGGGTGCCCGCCTGGCAGAGCAGACGAGCGCAAACAGGCTGTGAGTGCGAAGTCCCTTCTTCCGATGATTTCCCCCGAACTAGGGTGCCTAGGAAACGGCACCCGAATACAAACCTGTTGATTGGTCGCCGGAACTGCACTCGCTCGCTGGATTGCATGCCGACTGGTTGCGCCCTTGCGATCTCTGACGTCAGCGTAGCTCTGGCCGACTAGGCTGACCCTACGTCATCTTCTGACGCCGACCTTCGACGACAGTGCCGCTCTGACCTACCAGACTTGTCCTACGCCATCTCCTGACGCCGACAAGAGCTCTCGCAAGTGGTGCCTCGTCCTCGGACTCCTGTGACCGTGTTTCCATCTTTCCTATCTCTCCTATCCCCTCGATTTGTCCTCGCTCGCTGGCATAGCGCATCTTCCTCTCTCTATACACCTTTAATCATATTCTTTTAATCCCTCCTCACCACCATCCCTTGTGAGCTACTGTTGAGGTGTCACTCCCTGAAGCAGACAGTTACGGGGCTCACTTTCCTCTTCCTTTGTCTCTTACAACCAATTAGTAGCCGGAACTGCTCAGGCATTTGCCTCCCCTTATCTCCCAATCTCTGCCACCGCGATAATGGCGAGAATGCACGCTCGCGTCACGGCACGGACGAACTTCTGCATCGGAGGCATGCGAGGGCCCGTCGCGCCAACTGTTTCCTTCGTTCTCTGCGTCCGCGCTGCAGTGCGCGCTTGGTCGATTTCGGAAGTTTAGGTTTCGCCGTCCTGCCGACGCGTTTTGACGATTCCCTTGCGATGTGCTACAGTAATCCTATAAACGGCGATATTGAAGCTCGCTGTTGTGAATTTCGCCGAAGAAAACGGGAAGCGTGCCGCCGCAAAGCACTTGAAGGGGGCGTACTTCAAATCAACGACCGGTGCGATCAGTACGCCAGAAAGCAGAAGAGTGCGCGCTTGCTAATGCAAGTTTCCTGACATTGAAACAGGCATTTCCAATTATGCGCGGGTTCTTAGTTCTCCCGGTATCGCCATGTCGTGGGACCTAGTTTCTCTTAGTATTGTCAAAAGGGCTTCAGGAAAACAGGGCGTTGGAACGCGCTCGACGGAACCGAGGTCGATTCGCTTGAGGAGGGCGGTGGCCGCGGCCGCGACGACGATTCCCAATCGGACTTTGTGATCCCCGATTGCCGCAAAACCGCGCGTGACCGGATCTGATTGGTTAGAGTACGCGCCAATTCTTTCGAAATTAAAGAGTATACACTTAGTTTGTGCTGCAATTCATTTATTCATTGTTTAAATGTATATACTGCGCACTTTCGGAAGGTGACACAATATTTCGTATGTCATCGCGAAATCCCTGCGTAATTTGCGCACCCCCTTCTCGCGGCCACAAAATCTTTAAAAAAAAGTGCCCAAATTATGCGAGTAAATACGGTACCAAACTCGCCCCGCCGCGGTGGTCTAGTGGCTAAGGTACTCGGCTGCTGACCCGCAGGTCGCGGGATCGAAACCCGGCTGCGGCGGCTGCATTTCCAATGGAGGCGGAAATGTTGTAGGCTCGTGTGCTCAGATTTGGTTGCACGTTAAAGAACCCCAGGTGGTCAAAATTTATGGAGCCCTCCACTACGGCGTCTCTCATAATCATATGGTCGTTTTGGGACTTTAAAGCCCACATATCATCAACTGTACCAAAGTCGGTGTTAAGTGACGTGAATGGGTGATGAGCCCAAAGGCCAGGCACAATCATGATAATCATGGCATGGAAGTCATGTACGGCATAATTTACGTCAGTGCCTCACAACTTTGAGCTGATTTTTATGTGACATTTCAACCTTCCTCATTCGTGCTTCGCATTCATCAATTCCCACTGTACGTGGTATCTGCCAGTTTTTTTTTCCATTTCTTATCTCGGTTTTCACATTCCTTTTATGAGAACATCGACTATACAGGTGTATAAGACCTGCTGCGCAAACGGAGCTCACCGTGAGAGGTGCCAAATTTCAGGCATGATAGGATATCCGGCGTACGCTGAGCTGGCACATTTAGCGCCCACATATACGTATGCTCAAAAAGTACCGTGCGGAGTTTGACATGCACACAAACGGCACACATGAAAAAAAACACACACAGTCTGCTGAGAGTGTCAATTACAATTCACGAATAAAGTGCCAGTTAGATTCAGCTGCTCGAAGAAATACCACTCTAATAAAGCGGCAAAAATAGAACAAACCAGCAAAACAATCGAGAAGTCTCAATATGCACAGACGTTCGTTATGGCACGATGATGCTGCCTTCACGACACGTAAATTGCAGGCGGCAAACACGTGTAGAGTTCAGTTGGAAGTAACTAACAAAGCAATGCTAAATGCAGTATGACGCATAGAAGTGTGGACATCTAACATCATATACGTCTCACAAACACACAGAATCAAAACACAAAGTTCCTTCAACATACAACCATACATAACTTGACTTCCATGATGACAGGAGACAGCGAGCAATAATTACTGCTGTCGTTGCATGGACCTGCCGCGTTACATATACTGATTTGGGTAGTCGAAACAAACGATTTCAAGCCAAGAATCAATACAATAAAAACAGAAGGCGAGAAAGAGCTAGAACTTACTTCATTCTTTTACCTGCCGTGATCTATGCTTGCTTACTTTCTCTCTCGTACGAGTTGTCCGGGAACCGATACAGTTTTACAGACGAATCGCATGACTGTTGCGGCACACAAAAATACTTCAGACTTTGCCTTTGTGGGGTTGTTTCTACAATCGCGAAAATGCAGTTTCACAAAGCAAGCCTCTTGGTTCAGCGTGCCAAGCTTATGGCACAGCACCGAAGTTTCTCGCACTGATGACCAACCAGAAAACGCATGCCGCCACTGCCAGCGAAACAGGCTGAATTGGCCGCACCCTCTGCCGCGCCTATCCCCAGTTTCTTCAGAACTTGCCGCCACAGCGCGGCATTGTCATCACTATGCTGATTTGAGTTGGGGTCCCTATAGCTTGTCTTCCTTGTGGACGAGTCTGTGTTTTGTGAGACTACTCTTGTAAACAAACTTGAGACCACAGAGCGAGCAGGAGTGTGGTTTTTTACCTGTGTGATTACCCTTGTGCCGAATTAAACTTGTTAGCCGGGTAAACTGCCGGCCACAGATGAGGCACGCATAGGGCGTCTGTTCCTGGTGCAGGATCTCGTGTGTTTGAAGACTGCTTGTGTAAATAAACCTACGACCACACACTGAGCAGGGGTATGGCTTCTCATCCATGTGTGCAGCCTTGTGTTTGGTGAAATTTGTTTTCTGTGCAAACTGCCGGGCGCAGATGAGACAAGCAAAAGGCTTATTTTCCTTATGGGTCATCTGGTGTGCTAGGAGATTACTATTGCAAGTAAACCTGCGACCACATACTGAACAAGGGTACCGCTTCTCGTCTGTGTGAACAGCGTTGTGCCTAGTCAGATGCGATTTCTGGGTGAACTGCCGGCCACAGGTGAGGCAAGCATAAGGTTTCACTTCCTTGTGGGTGACCTCATGTTTTAACAGACTGCTTCTCTGACCATACCTACGGCCACAAACTGAGCAGGGATACAGCTTCTCATCTGTGTGAACAGCCTCGTGCCTAGTGAGATTTGATTTTCGGTTGAACTTCCGGCCACAGATGAGGCAAGCATAGGGCTGCTCTCCTGTGTGAAGACGCTCATGTTGAATTAGGTGTGTTCTCGAAGCAAAGCGCTTTCCACAGACTGCACAGCCATGCCGTTTCTCCTTTGTGTGAGCCATCTGATGCTTTGTCGCACATTCGCTACTCGTGTAGTAACTGTTGCTGCTCCTTTTAGACTTTTCCTGTGATGATCCTGTAGCACCTCCACATATCCTGGGTATCAATAAAAAAAAGGTCATAATGAACCTATTTTGTTAGTCAGACAGAACATTGGCAGAGACTTATAATGATGGCATAAAAAACAACAACAACCTGAGCCCTTCGTTTATTGTAGCACCATTCCAACCGTCATGAGACATGAAAAAAACTGAAAGAAGTCAGGCAAGACTACGTGTCTTCTTCATTAAATTAGAGCTGTTCTAACTACTTGTCAGGTGCGAGAAATCTATCAGTGGTTTATGCTACACCTTTTTCTAAATGGGTAGCACCACATGCAGAAACCACCAAAAAGTTAATTCTGGTACAATAACATTACAGTCGAGCCCGACTATATCGAACCCGTTTATATCAAATTATCCCGTATATCGAACAATTCCTAAACACGGTAAGTTTACATTGAGAATATATAGGAAAAGTTACTGTTTTATCGAACGAAAATAGCAACGACAACTGATATATCAAACTCCATGTGCCTCAAAAGTGCCCCAGCAAGTTGGCTTTCCCTCAAGGTAGCGGAGAAAACTGCCGGCACCAACCTAGAAAAAGTTGGTTAGACCCGGTTGTGCGCAGGTGAACACCCCCCTCCAAGAAATGATCCTGGTCCGCTCACAGCGCTTACAGCACATCAGAGGCCGTCGTACTTTCTTCGAGGCGCGGAGGCAGTAGAAGTGAGCGCCATTTTTTCTTTCTTTATGCTTGTGTGCCTGCTGCTGCCGATTCAGTGTGGTAAGTGGTGTTGCCTGTTGGTGCTCTGTGAACTGTATAGGTGCACTATCATCATGGCTTGCGCAGAGAGGCAAAATTTGCCATTTCGCCGCGAAGCTCGAAATAATCAATCGGGTTGAGCGCGGTGAAAAGAAGTTCGATGTCGCCGCCGTGTACAAAATTCCAAGGAGCACCTTGAGTGCTATCCTGAAGAACAAGGCAGACATCAGGGCCAAGTCGGACAAAAGGCCAAGTGCCCGTGGCGCCCGACGTGTGCACGCTGCTGTGTACGAAGATGTTGAAGCGGCCGTTTACAAGTGGTTTGTGGACATTCGGTCACAAAACATCCTGATGTATGGCCCTATGATCGAGCAGAAAGCCAAGGACCTTGCTTTCCTGCTTAGCAGGAATGATTTCTAAGGCGGTTCAGGCTCGCTTTAGCGGTTAAAAGAGCTGCACGACATCGTTGGCAAAGCTATTAAAGGTGAAAGCAGAGCGGCGGACCTGGACAGTGTAGAAAAAAGGCTTGAGGAAAACTGGCGAGATATCGCAGCAAGATATAGAGCCCAAGATATCTTCAATGCGATGAAACCACTCTATTTTGGCAACTGTTGCCAAACAAGACACTTGCGTGTCGTGGCGACAAGACAAGCGACAGCAAGACAAACAAAGCTCGTGTGTCCGTGCTGTTGGCAGCTAATTTAGATGGATCGAAAAAGCTTCGACCTCTGCTTATCGGGAAAAGCACGGCACCGCAGTGTTTTCGAAATGCGATGTCGCTTCCAGTTACCTACCGAGCAAACTCAAAAATGACCGGGGAGCTTTTCAGCAGATGGCTATCGTCGTGGAATGATGATTTGGTAGGCGAAAATCGCAAGGCGCGCCTGCTCGTGGACAACTGCTCATCCCACCACTGCAGTACGACCTTCAGCAACATCGAGCTGCGTTTTTTGCCCCCGAACACTACGTCTGTACTGCAACCACTGGATCAAGGCGTTATATGCGCAATGAAAGCCGGCTATCGGAAGCGCCTGGTGGAGAGGCTGCTGCAGAACCTTCGTGTTGGCAGGGAGCTTAAGATCGACTTGCTCGGAGCTATTTCTATATTGAGTAGATCGTAGGCAAATATCAAGAAGGAGACGATCCAGAACTGCTTAAGGCGTGCCGGCTTTCGCATGCCTGGTGATGACACCCCAAATTCTGACAGCACTGAAGACACCGTAGGTGTTTCCTGCCGAAGTCTGAAACGAGCTGGCAGAGTTCCCGGGTGCTATCGACGGATCGACACTCGACGAGTTCGTCAGTGCGGACGATGATGTCCCCCTCATGAGCCAATTACAGGATGAGGATTACATTGCAGACGTCGTGCAGACGTCGTGTCGAGCAATATGGAAATCGACGACGGCCCATTGCCTACATCCTCCGAAATCATTAGTGCACTTGCGTTGGTCCAGCACTATTGCTTGAATGTGGAAGGTTGCGGCCTCAGCTGCTCCAACTCGTTGGACAACGTGGAGGCGTGCGTGCTGTCGCAGGCAGCGAAGTCGTTGACACAGAAAAAAATCCAGGACTATTTCGTTCCACAGTATGGCACGCAAGTAAGCCACCATATTAATAAAGTACTTTTCTTCTAGTTTGTTATGTGCCTTTGTGTCATAACCTATAGCGGGCCTATATTGAATTATGCCATATATCGAACTAATAAACGTTTTATGGTGAGTTCAATATACCCGGGATCATCTGTACCTGAAAAGCAGGCAGGTCAGCACCTGTCCAACAGACAACAAGTGCGCACACACTGTCCGTCTGCACCCCATGAGCTTCATCTTCTTATGGCGAATTTCATTGAGAGAACAGGAGTATAGGGGCAGGGTAGTGGGGAGTGGGAGACAGAGCACTGAGAGCAGGGCCACTCAACCTGCCAATGAAATGCAAAACGCTCCCGGAGAGCAGGTGACAGGAGGATGAGTGAGAAGACCATGAGACCGAAACATTCCAAGCCTCGGCATATTCTCCATGGGGCAACAGCAAAATACACCCGAAATCGCTCAGTCACTATTTGATCAGCCTAATACATAGTACATTAGTGCAATGACGCATTAGGCAAGCTTCCAGCTGTCGCCGTAGCCACCCGTAAAAAACAGCGCAACTATGGTGGCCAGCTGAAAAAAAAGTTGGGAGACAGTGACGTTCAAAGGCCACGTTGTACTGCGCTTACTGCACTTTCAGACGAGAGCACTGCAAACTGCTCCTGGCTGCTCTCTGTGCCACAAAGACACTCTCACTCTACCAATGGATGACAGTGCATCTGTTCCTGTTCAACCACTGAAAACATGCCGGCTCCGAAGAGAGAACTTTCAGCATGCATTTGAGTGCACCTGCTCTCCCAGTGGAATTCGCCATTAGCCTCTGACCTGATGTTAATGACTACTATCGAAAGGTCTCGGGGCATGAAATGCAAAAAGGAGCGAGCTAAGTTCTAAAAAAGCTTTGCGTGCTCTTCCTGTGACACTTCAAGCACAATTAGCACCTTTTGCACTTTGCACTGGTGCTCAGGTAGAGCCTTGACCTCGTAACCCTCGGGCAATATTACCCTTGCAACTAGCTAATCAAGTCATGGACTGAAATGATCAAGTAGTGTCTTTGATTGACAAAGAAATACTTCATACTAAAATCTCAGTTCGAGCCCGAACAGAACCCAGACATTCTGCAGGGCAGTCAAGTACTCTACCACAGAGCCACGTCAGTGCTCCAATCTGTTGTGAAAAAATACTATTACAAGCATGATGTTAGAGCAATGCCAATCGGGATGGCAGTGTCAGCTACAGTGGAACCCTGTACAACGAAACTGATGGGGTGCAGGAAAAGTTTCGTTGAAGCAAAAATTTCATTGTAGTGAAATTAGAAAAAAAATTGTGGACCAGATGTAGCAGAACAAAGAACTTTCATTTCAAAAATTACAAAGTGTCGACTGCTTCTTTTTCTTTCCCAGCAGCATCATGATGCGTATCTTACACATGCATAGTGATGCAATGTTGAAAAGCACAGTTAAACAAAGGCCACAGCGGCTTTCGTTAATCAATTTAACAGCTACACTAGCACGTTAGCCCTAGCACCGGTCCATTGTCAAAAGGTATCCAACAACATTGAGATGGAGACCTGGTATCGTGGAGCGGTTCCAGTCGCGGCTGGCTGATTTTGGTAATACTGTGGACGAACAGTTGCTCTGACCAGTGACCACACTGGCCAAGTACGACAAGAACCAAAAGCATTAGGCATCAGAAAAAGCATCTTTCTACCAGCGCACTTCAGCATGTGGTGTTCGGTAAAGTAAAAAGCAGCAGAGTTCTCCCATACTACCGAATGTCACACACTGAAATGCTTAGCAGCAGCAGAGCTCCCTTTTTTTTTTTTTTTTTTTCAAACTTCATAGCGGTGAGCTTGAACTTTGCCATATATATATAATTATTGCAGCCCATCAGAAGGAAACAGTAGTTTTAACGCAGAGATGGCGAAACCTAAACTTTCCGAATCAACTAACATGCGTTGCAGTACGAATACAAAGAATGAGGAGAATAGTTGGCCCAACTGGCTCTCCCATGCTTCTGATGGACAAAAAATTGTCTGTGCTGAGACACGAGCATGCATTGGGAAGTAGAGGGAGACAAACACGCTAGTGCTTCTGACAACCCGCCAACAAGCTTGGGTGTTCAGGTGTGATATTCTAATGAAAAGTAAACGCAGTATACTCCCTGACATTCGTACTGATGTCTACTCACTATAAGAGGCTCTCAAATGCTCATACTCAAGCCTTTTCAGTGTGAGTGATCATGAGTGAATGTACTCTTAAGTGAGTATGCTTACCTATGCTGGAACATCCCTGATGCTCTGCTCAAGATCATGAAGACATATGAGAGCTAACTGTCTCTTTTCCTTCCATGAGGACATAGGCAGCACTTTATATCACAGCTCGGCATACTCACTCATGAGTACACTCACTCACACTCATTCATACTCATTTGAATGTGGTGAGTGTGAGTATGAGTGAGTAATGATGAGTATGAGTAGGAGTGAGTAGAACGTGAGTGAGTACTTATGAGTATGAGTGGGAGTGAGAATGGACGTGAATGAGTAGTTTCAGTGTGAGTAGAAGTGAGTATGAACGTGGGTTCGTGCTCATGAAGTGTCAGTAAGAGTGAGTATGAACGTGAGTGACTACTCTGAGTGTGAGTATAAGTGAGTATGAATGTGAGTGAGTACTCTGAGTGTGAGTAGAATTGAATATGAACGTGAGTGAGTGTTGTGAGTGTGAGTAAGAGTGAGTATGAACGTGAGTGAGTATTTATCAGTGTGAGTAAGAATGAGTGAGAGCTTGTGAGTGTGAGTAGGAGTGAGTATGAATATGAGTGAGTACTCTTAGTGTGAGAAGGAGAGAATATGAATGTGAGTGAGTACTCATGAGTGTGAGTATGAGTTTGAACATGAGTGAGTACTGATGAGTGTGAGTATTCGTTAGTATGAATGTGAGTGAGTATTCATGAGTGTGATTAGGAGTGAGTGAGAGCTCATGAATGTGAGTAGGAGTAAGTAGGAACGTGGGTGAGTACTCACGAGTGTGAGTAGACTTGCCTGCAAAGTTGAGTGAGTTGCTGTGAGTGTAAGTAGCAACGAGTAGGAACATGAGTGTGATAAATATTTGTAACCATCGCAACGGCGTCTTCAATATGCTGGAAATAACGGGCACTATGGCATGCAAGCTTACTAAACGTAAAAACCTTCAGTTAGTTTAGAAACTGGGGGAGCCATCCTACATCAGATGGGGGGGGGGGGAGGTTGAGATGACCGTGCAAAGCTCAAGTTGATAGTAGCCGTCATTTTATTGTAATTTGAATTTTCTAGGCTAAATAACTTTGAACTGCCTGTCCCTATAGCTACCGTTCTTGCCTGCACTTACCTCTTGCGCCTTCAGTCTACACAACCCGCTGATAATACATGTAAAACAAGGTCTTGAGAAGCCCTTTAACGAAAATCGCCGCGCGAGCCAGGTTCGGAAAAAAGAAATGCACTGCGCAAGCGACGAAAAAAAAAACGCTAAAATGGCTCGTGAGAGAAAGCACATTGTGTGCGCGACGCACATTGTGCGCAGCGATTTTGCAGTTTCTATCTCTGCGTTATCCCTCAAGTGAAGGTTGCCTTGAACGAAAACCTTAAGTGATCTCATGACCTCTCAAGCGCGAAGCTGTGTGCGAACTTCGCCTTCTCAGTGTCTCATTAAGGAAAAAAAGGAAAGCTTGGAGGACGGTTGAGCTTTGCCGTCAATAGTATAGTATGCGATAGCCTAATCGGACCCTGTTCGCATCGCCGTTTCAATCTTTACCCTCCCTTCAGTTTTCGGCGGCTTATTATGCCTTCAACAGTGCAGACACAATGTGCAATAAGCGCCCAATCACCCTTGATAATTTATTCTAACATTCACATAACGCGGGCTAATACAAAAACACACATAACGCAACTCGTCAATTACCGTTTTATTCGGCTGTCCGCGATAACCCTGCATACGTACACTGCCAATGAAGGTTAACCGCGTCCACAGGTCTATAAATAAGGCCTCCTGCAATCGTCAGTGCCGGCACGGAGCCAACGAAGTCTCCGCGTGAGCGCGACCCACAGAGGAAGGAAAACATCTCCGAAGATGCGCACAATTTCTCGAATGCAAAACTGCCATACGCAACGCATTCCATCTGAAGGCGAGGCAGAGAGGGGACACGCCGTCTCGACGGTCGCGCCGGGCCACAGAAAACCTACCAGGGGCCGGGCGGCCGGGGTGGCCGTGGCGCCGCGGCGCCCGCCTGTCTCGCTAGTGCAGTCAGAAGGGGCTAGGGGCAGTGGAACGAACGAAGCGGTTGAGCCGGATGGCATGGCAACGTCTTGGGTTCTGGCGGGTAATCAGCAGTGGCCGTGTAGTATACTGTAGCTGTCGAGAGCGTCTCTATTTCGCACGCATGTGTCGTAGCCTACGAAAGTGCGTTTTGAGTGCTTGTAACACATTACTAAGATTCTAAACGATGTCTCAGCGTCTCCTACGCGTCATGGCACACAAATGAATGTGCAGGTGCGTCGTAATTGCGCTGAGTCATTGCCTGTTTGTGGAACCTACCGACCCTTAAAGAAAGCGACAATTGTTCAGCTCGATTTTTTATTGAGTAACCTGAGTACAAGTAACGCTACCTCAATGTTAACATTCATCATCGGCCTGACAACGTCCACTGGAGGACAAAGGCCTCTCCCATGAGCCGCCACTCAACTCGGTCCTGTGCTTGTTGTTGCCATTATGTACCCGCGAACTTCATAATCTCATCTACTCACCGAACTTACTGTCTCCCCCTAACCCGTTTGCTTTCTCTGGAAATTCGGTCAGTTATGCTTAATGACCAGCTGTTATCCTGCCTACGCGCTACATGCCCGGCCCATGTCCATTTCTTCTTCTTGATTTCAACTATGATATCCTTAACCCCGGTTTGTTCCCTAATCCACTCTGCTCTCTTCTTGACTCTTAAGGTTACAACTAGTATTTTCCTTTCCATCGCTCTCTCCGTCATCCTCAATTTAAGCTGAACCCTCTTTGCAAGCCTCCAGGTTTCTGCTCAGTGGGTAAGTACCGGCAAGATGCAGCTGTTATATATCTTCGTCTTGAGGGGATAATGACAATCTACCAGCCATGAGCTGAGAATGCTTGCCGAATCTTCTCCACCCTACTCTTATTCTTCTAGATACTTCAGTCTCGTGGCTCGGCTCCGTAGGTACTACCTGTCCTAAGTAGACGTACATACCGTTTTCCAACTTCAAGTGCACTGCCACCTATCTCGAAGCTCTGTTTTCTTTCGAGGTTGTTGTTCATTACTTTTGTTTTCTGCCGGTTATTTTGTAGATTCCAAGAGAAGGAAAGCGGGAAAAGGGGAGACAAAGTTTGGTGGGCAGATGAGATTAGGAAGTTTGCGGGTATGAAGTGGCAACAGCAAGCAAAGGACTGGGTTGACTGGCGGAACTGAAGAGAGGCCTTTGTCCTGCTGTGATGATGATGAGTGTGTGAATGTAAAAGTATGTGGGTGAGTGCGCCTGAGTATGGGTAGGCGTAAGTGTGAAGGTGAATTCTTATAGTGAGTGCAGAGGTGTGTGAGGGCCTATGATCTTGAGCAGGCGTGAGTATGAAGGTGAGTGAGTAACTATGAGTCTTAATTGAGGTGCACGAAAAATTGAAGTACAAAAAGGAGACACCTGGACACTGGCGCGCTCGTCTCGAGGTGTCTTCCTTTTGTACTTCAATTTTTCGCGCACCTCAGTTAAAATGAATCACCAACTCGCCCAGCAGTCCGTGTTTCTTCAAGAGTGTGAGTAGTCGTGAGTATGAACGAGAGCCATGAAAATGAGTGTGAGTAGGCGTGAGTATGAACGTGAGTGACTGTGAGTAGGCGTGACTATGAACATGAGTGAGTACTCATCAGTGTGAGTAGCCGTGAGTATGAACGTGAGTGAGGGCCTAGAGTGTGAGTTGGCGTAAGTTTGAACGTGAGTGAGTACTCATGAGTGTGATTAGGAGTGAGTATAAACATGAATGAGTACTCTGAGTATGAGTATAAGTGAGTATGAACGTGAGTGAGTACTCATGAGTATGAGTAAGAGTGAGTATGAACGTGAATGAGTACTTTCAGTGTGAGTAGAAGTGAGTTTGAACATGAGTGAGTACTCATGAGTGTGAGTAGGAGTGAGTATGAACGTGAGTGAGTACTCTGAGTGTGAGAAGGAGTGAGTATGAACGTGAGTGAGTAGGAGTGAGTGTGGGTAGGCGTGAGTATGAACGTGATTATTTTGAGTGCGAGAAGGAGTAAGTATTAACGTGAGTGAGTACTGTGAGTGTGACAAGGAGGGAGTATGAACGTTAGTGAGAACTCATGAGTGCGAGTAGGCATGAGTATGAATGTGAGTAAGGGCCTATGAGTGGGAGTAGACGTGAGTATGAACGTGAGTGAGGGTGAAGGCTGAAAAAATTGTGGTGAGTGAGTATGAGTGAGCAGTCTCTCAAAGTGCCGACCTATGCTTTAGATAGTTAATTCTTAGTGTTAGTGGCTTGGCATTGCATGATCTATTTAGAGATTCATAAAGTGTTTCTATGTATATGTGTAACTGAAGACGTCCTTCGTCCTTGTAAGTGCTTAATGTACAGTCTTAGGAACCTACTGTTGTAGATGTTGTAGGGTAACAGAAGAACACATGACTGTAACCGAACTAATTCATCATGTAAAAATTATGAGCACTGCATCAACTGTCACTTTAAATCAGTGGGCAAGGCACAACTCACCTTCTGTCACCGTCCATAAAAGCTGTGCTTTCCTAAAGTTTCAGTGCTGTGTGTTGATTCGGCTGGGGAGAAAATCATTGGCACCAGTACTTGAGGCTCCAATGGTCCTTTTCTATCCATGTCTGGTGATTCCTACAAAACAGCATGAGCACTTATTTGTTAAACTGTAATATGTCAACATTCAATTTTAACTCAGCTTTAGAGTCCCAAACTTCTCACATGCTTTTTAATACGTAGCATTGTGTAATGAAAATCTATTTTCCTTAACACAGGGGTTTTCAAAGCTTCTTATCAAAATTATCATATTAGGCAATTAAGGTTCCTTAAATAAATACAACAACATTGTCTTTCTGATTCCCCTGATTAACACTCACATGTACTCAAAGAGCCTCACACTCCATTATGAACTTAAGAGAGTTCACCAGCGCAAGCTCTCATAGAGACATGTGCACTTTGAGAAGCCTGCCTAAAACATGTCAGACCTACATGGGGTCTTCAGCACTGCATTCTTCTTTACTTTACAAAAAAAACGTTGCAGAAATATTTTCTTTCTTCAAGCTTTTGTTTTTTTTACAAACCAGAGGCCAGAAAAATTGTACTTTATACATCTGGCTCTCATTCTCTTCTAAAAAAAAAATAGCTATCACAATTTATTTTGCAACATTGGTATAACAGTCAAGCTTGTAAACCTGTGATTTCCTTGTTACAGGCTTTCGAAGCAGTGGCGTAGCCAGGGGGGGGGTTCAAACTTTCCCTGAAATTTTTCGCACGAACCCTCTTCCACACCACTTACCCACTTTTTTTTTTGGTCACTTCACGCTGACATCATTTAAAAATAACCGGTGCTACTACTTATCACAACATCATTCCTGGGCGCTTTTACAGTGAATAATGTTTGCACACGGGAAAACGTGTCGCAGTGTTTGTCAAGGTTTTACCACTCTGCGAGATTTTGGGCAGGAATCTCGGCAGTGAGCGTTGTAAGTTCGCTCGGCAACGGGATTAATGCTGCAGCAGTGGTCATACAAGTACCCACCGGAACAAATCTCGAGGGAGCCCTTCACTACGATAATTTTCCCGAAGCAGAGATTCGATTTAATGGTAAAAGCCAGACACAGTTCCAACGTCCGATAGGCAACGTTCAAGCATATTAGAGTGTGACTCTTCATACGTGTGCTAAGATATACTAAAGCCAGAGAACAACATTTTTATTGAATTTTCGCAAATTCTGCTAACATCTAAACATGAAAATGCTCGAGGCCCATGCACTTTGATTTAGGTGCACGTTAAAGACTTAAAGTGGTAAAATTTCCGGAGCGCCCCACTACGTCGTCTCTCATAATCATATTGTGCTTCTCACAGTCGCCTTCCTTGTTGCACAGAGAAGATGAAGATATGATGGAGATAACTTTTTTTTAATTTATTTTGTGCTGGCACTGATGACTGCATCTCGCGTTCGAGAGCTTCTAGAAAATTCATCGCATATACAGCAGCGGTCTTGTCATAGTCACACTTGTTGGGGCTTTTAAAATTTCCGAGTGCGTTCTCAAACGCGCGAACACTGAGAGGATCAAGGCACCAAGAACTTGGTGAGCCCCCTTGCCTGAACTTTATTTTCCAAAAAGCACACATATCTTGCGGAGAGCTCCCCCCTGAAATGTGGAATACGCCAGCCAGGAAAACATGTCTTGCCAGTGAGGTTGGAAGGATTGCCCTTACTAATTGAGGGAAGGCTGTAGTTAGAGCTTGATTTTGTGGGAGTGCTGACAGCCCTTGTAAAAGTTGTTTGCGCCGCATGGCAAACGTGTTTCACGCAGTAGCCAGATTTCGGGGTCTCGAACTATTGAGCTGTAGGTGGCGTTGTGCTTGTGAGCATTTATCGCCACCACCATCATCATCATTATGGTTAGAAAACGTTAGCGCCTGCGGCGACGCCTGGCAGGAAGCCTTGGTGGCGGTGCAAAAGAAATAAGCTGGCGTTTTGCGGCGTGGGGCTGGTAGCGCGGGCAGTTGCCTCCAGTGGTTGGTCTGCTGTGGACGACACCACGGACCATCTGCGGTGGGCCCACATGATGACTCAGGCATTAGCGACACCTGCTTGTTTGTCATGTTGTTGAGTGTTGTTTCATGTGTAAGGATGTCTTAGTGTTTGATCACGATTGATATTGCTACGTGCCAGTGGATGGAAAGAAGACGAAGCAGATAGACTTGCGTAAGCTGATCTGTGTGACTGGCGCTGCTCGCTTAACCGGCTGTAAAGACATCGGTGACTACCCCTCCGAGTCGGTCTTTCTCTCGTAACATATTTGGTGGAGCTGTGCGATCCCCGTCCTCGCCACAGAACTCTGAAGCAGACGCTCTCTCGCGGCTTACGACATGTCCACTCAAGACATCCTCTCCGGTCACCCGCCCTTCTGCCCGGCCTGTCAACCCAGTCAACCCAGCGCCCGCAACAACTTTCGTGACGCTCCCCGCGCTCAAAGACCCCGGCGTGTTCTCGGGCAGCGAGGGTTCCGACGTCGACCAATGGCTACGCCTCTACGAACGCGTCAGCGCCACTTACAGGTGGGATCCTACTGTTATGCTCGCAAACGCCACCTTTTATCTCAACGGAACCTCTCGTGTTTGGTTTGACAACCACGAGCATGACATAACAAGCTGGGACAGCTTCAAGGAAAAGATTCCTGAGCTTTTGGCAACATCTCTGGTCATCGTGAAGCTGCGAAAAATGAGTTGTCGACTCGTGCAGAATCTTCCACGGAGGCCTACATCGGTTACATTCAGGCTGTCCTCTCACTATGCCGCCAAGCTGACGGAAACATGTCCGAACCTGAAAATGTTGCGCATATCCTAAAGGGTATCGCCGACGACGCGCTCAACTTGTTGGTATTCAACAATGTGTCATCCTTTAATGCGATCATTCAAGAATGCCGCCAGTTCCAACAAGCTAAAAGCAGACGCATTTCCCATCAGTTCCAGCGCCTTCCGAACACCACTGCGACGTCCCCGTGTCTCGACACATATCATCCACCAGACACTTGTGACAACTTGACGCGAATCGTCAGGAGGGAACTTGAAGCGGCTGCTCCAGCTAAGGTGGGACCAACGTCCCTTAACCCCTCTCCTCCAAATACGTTGCCTCTCATTCAAGCAGTCCTCCGGCAAGAAATCGCCAGCTTGGGAATTCACTCTATCTCACCGCCTCCTCGCACCGACTACCAGCCCCGATACACACCTGCACGCCCCCTCCCGACCAGCTCTCCCTCCACGTTCCGTAATCCGTCCGCAAGGCGAACACACGATGACAAGCCGATCTGCTTCTCGTGTCACAGAATTGGGCACATTTCTCGCCATTGCAGAAGTCGCTGGGGTCCTCCTGCACAACCATCCTCTAGTCCCTTCTATGCATGTCCTGCCTATCGCCATGAGACCAGCCATGACCATTTTGCCCAGCAACCTGTTACTGAACACCGCTACTTCCGCTCTTCATCCCCCCAACGTTGCCAGTCTCGTTCTCCACAGCCCTGCCGACCGTCTTCCCTCGCCTTCCCATGAGGTTCCCCGACGGAAAACTAAGCGTTGCAGCCCCCGGAGGTGGCACTGCATCGCTCGGACTGACCGAAAATCCTCTCTTGACGGTACCGACAAAACCGAACCTTATAGACGTACAAGTAGACGGCGTACATGTCACTGCTCTTGTCGACACCGGTGCTCAACTTTCCGTGATGACGAGTGATTTTCGCCGCAAGCTTAAGAAGGTTCTCACACCTGCGACCACTTAGTTCGTCCGTGTTGCGGATGGTGGAATAGCATCTATTGTTGGAATGTGCTCCGCTCGTGTGAGCATTGCAGATCGACACACAGTTGTTCTCTTCACCGTCCTTGATAAATGCTCCCACGACGTAATCTTAGGCCTCGACTTCCTGTCCGCGCATTCTGCCCTCATAGACTGTTCGGCCAGTACGCTCCGTCTACACTTGCCCGCAACAGAACCTCTTACACAACGGCCAAGTCGCCTCTGCACAACGGGACACGCGCGCCTCCCTCTACAGACCCTGACCTACATAGAGCTCGTCTCAATACTACCAGTTCCCGACGGTGACTGTGTTCTGACCCCTATCACCGATGTCCTCATAAACCGTGGCATTACATTACCACACACCACTCTATCCGCCGCAGGAAATTCTACGTGCCTCCCAGTTGTCAACTTTAGCTTGACACCTCAAGTTCTGCCACAAGGGATCTCTTTGGCATTGCTCTGCACCTTACAAGACAAGGCTGTAGATTTTTCGCGACGGCCGCTCCTTCTGACCCCCAAGCTCAACATCAATCTGCCACTTGCTCCGACAGCGCTATTACGTCGATGATCGCTTCCAACTTAACGCCGCAGCAGACTGATGAGCTCCACTGGGCTCTGCTGTCCTACATTGACGTTTTTGACCTTAGGACCTTAGCGACCATTCGTTGGGGAAAGCTACCGATTTGACCCACCGCTTAAACACTGGTAATGACCATCCTATTCATAGGCGTCCATATCGAGTGTCGGCGGCCGAGCGCCACATTATTCAAAGTGAGGTCGACAAAATGCGCGTCAAGGACATCATTGAGCCATCCTGCAGTCCTTGGGCTTCTCCTGTAGTGCTAGTCCGCAAGAAAGACGGTGCATGGCGTTTCTGTGTTGACTATCGACACCTCAACAAAATTACCAAAGAAGACGTGTACCCTCTCTGCCATGAATAGATGATGCACTTGATTGCCTCTATGGGTCCCACTATTTTTCCTCCATAGACCTTCGTTCCGGCTACTGGCAGATAGAGGTAGATGAAATGGACTTTGAAAAGACGGCATTCATCACCCCCGATGGCCTATATCAGTTCAAGGCCATGCCCTTCGGCCTTTGTAACGCTCCAGCCATCTTCGAACGAATGATGGACTCCCTCCTCAAAGGATTCAAATGGTCCACCTGTTTGTGCTACTTGGACGACGTCATTGTCTTTTCACCAACATTTGAAACTCATATAGAGCGTCTCTCAGCCATCTTAGGAATCTTCCGTCGCGCTGGCCTGCCGCTCAACTCGTCCAAATGTCACTTTGGACGCCATCAAATCACAGTACTTGGCCATTTAGTAGAC